TGATAAATATTATAAGAAAGAGAATTGCATGAAACAATGATAAATATGAAAAGAAAGAGAATAAGTCTCATGTTAACATCTGCGCCATGTTCAACTAGTTATTTAACAATTTCAATTGAATTAGTTTTGATTGCAAAGCTAAGAGGACATTCATTAATGTCAAGAGAATTTCATAAAGCAATGAAAAATATGAAAAGAAAGAGAATGCCATTGAACAACGATAAATATGAAAAGAAATAGAGTGAAATAAAGCAATGATAAATATGAAAAGAAAGAGATGTACATAAAACAATGATAAATATGAACAGAGAGGGAATAAGTTTCATGTTGACATCTGCACCGTGTTCGACTAAGATTTCAACAATTTCTAATGCTTTGACTTCGATTGCAATACTAAGAGGGTGCCTATTAATATCGAGAGAATTTCATAAAGCAATGAAAAATATGAAAAGAAAGAGAATTTCATAAAACAATAATAAATATAAATTGAAAAAGAATTTTATAAAACAATGATAAATATGGAAAGAGAGAAAACTCCATGAAACAACGATGAATATGAAAAGAAATATAACTTTATAAAGCAATGATAAATATGAAAAGAAAGAGAATTCCATGAAACAATGATAAATATGAAAATAAAGAGAACAAGTTTCAGGTTAACATCTGCACCGTGTTCAACTAAGAATTTAACGATTTCTAATGATTTGACTTTGATTGCCACGCTAAGAGGGCAATCATTAATATCAAGAGAATTTCATAAAGCAATGATAAATATAAATAGAAAGAGAATGTATTAAAAAAATGATAAATATGAAAATGAAGAAAATCCCATAAAGCAATGTTAAATATGAAAAGAAAGTGAATAAGTTTCATGTTAACATCTGCACCGTGGTCAACTAAGAATTTGACAATTTCAATTGAATTAGTTTTGATTGCCACACTAAGAGGGCACTCATTAATATCAAGATAATTTTATAAAGCAATGAAAAATATGAAAAGAAAGAGAATTTCATAAAATAATAATAAATATGAAAGAAAAAAGATTATAAAGTTTGTTGATATCTTCTCCATTAGTAAGTAAATAAGATGCAATATCATAATTTCCGAAATGCATACTTTCTACTATTGAATGAGGAGATTGTCCAAAATTTGATTTAAGGAACTCAGCAATTTCATAGTTTCGATAATTCAATGCTGTATTAATCATGTTATCAAATGATTTACCATCTTCAATCATTTGCATAAAAATCTCATTATTTCCGCATTGAACAGCATATTCTTCGGAGTTAGAAGTGTATTTACCTCCTACGTTTTTCAAGTAATTGAAACACAGTACTGATCCAAATTTAATTGCACAATCAAGTGGTGTGATTTCATTAATTTCCTGATTAATGTCAAGATTTGGGAATTTGTTCTTAAGATCATCAGCTTTATCCAATGCAATATAGTATAAAGGAGAGTCGGTTGAATATATATTGAGGATTTCTTCTTCGTTCATTTCAGGTTCGTAGTTTTCAAATTTGAAACCTTTATAATATAAAAGTGTTGTCAATTTTTCATTTTCTGGTTTGATCAAGCATGAAAATTTGTTTAATATTTGTTGGCAAAGTTCCGTAAATAATTTAATATCTTTAACACGAATTTGTGAAAAAACATCAATCAAATACACTGCCATTTGGATAGATATTTTGTTATTTGTAATGAATTCTATAATTTGTGAAGATATTTGTAAAGTATTATTTGAATTGACACCCCAAATAATTTTAGAAGCTTGATTAGGGTATTCAAATTCTTTAATTGGTTTAATGTCGCCAAAATCACATTCATTTTTATTTTTTGATTGTTCTGAACTTGGCGTGAAAAAGAAGCTATTCGACAGGACGGCACCCATAATTTTGAAAAAAAAGGGATAAAATTAAATATGTGATAATATTTAATTATTAAAAATATCATTGCTGTTACTTTTCGAGATAAAAAAAATTAACTTCAGAAAAAAAAATAGTCAATACTTAAAAAAGTCTATTCCACAATACATTTTCGAATGTAATGTAGGAAAGTTCGAGAGTAATCTTGCTTTATATCCCTTATTATATCTTCCCTGAAAGTTTCGCCTTCATTGGTTCACTGTATGGTTCAAATTGATGTGTTATTTCAAAACGATTTTTTTTATATTTATGGATGAAAACAAAAATCCCGATTGGTCATTCGGAATAGATTTCAAAATTCAATTCAGCGATGGTGAACTTGTTGATATGCATTTTAATTCATCAGATACGGTTGAATCCATCCTTAAATATATTCAAAATTTACCAAATAGATTACCAAAGGAAAACCAAGAAATAATTCTTGTTTTTGCAGGGAAAAAGCTCGATTTAAATGAAAAAATCGGCAACATAAACTTGTTTGAAGGTGCAACATTTAATGTTTTTTACAAATACAAAAAATGTGATACACCAAACTTCGTAGAACTTCGAGGATTTAACAGATTAGCAAGAATGGGCTATTCAAGTTCAGATATAATCTCATTTAGAAATCAATTTTATAAAATTCATCAAAAACCCGAAACAGAAGAAGAGCAATTAGATATTGAAGATGATTGTTTACCAGCATTGATAGTTGCAAATGGAATGCACCTTCATCAAGAAGAAAATTTAAATAATGTTGATCAAGAAAACAGAAATATCGCAGTTACACAGTTTATGCCATTTTTAGTATATTTTTATTTGATTATTGTAGGTATCTTAAGTTAATTTCATTAATTTACCTTATTTAGTTTTGTAGATGAAGAATCTTTTATCAACATTTCCAAATTTATTGTTTAGATACAGAAAAATTCGAAATTAAATTTTATTGTTCATTTTTACCTTGAATTTGCTTTTTGAAAGCAACCATGGTCCACATGCACGTATTATGTAGAAGAAAAGCTTATTCAAAAAAATTTCAGAACTCAAATTCTGAAATTCATTTATTCCTTGCTGTCAACAATTGTTCCTAGTTGACTACAATTTTCTGAAGATCATTTACATTAATGAATCGTTAAATTATTCAATTAATTACCAAATTTGAATTTTATTCAAAACTTGGTCAATTAAACCCTTGATGCAGTAGAAAAAGGTGATTAAAACAGCATTAGATAGTATGTACTTTAGTAATTACTCTCTAATAAATTTCAAATTTTGTTATTTGTCCAACTAAAAATAGTGTCTATTGCAGTAGTTGATTGTAGTGTGATAAACAGAAATTCATCAAAAGTGACGGCTCTCAATTTTTTGACATTTGTAAATTCTAAATTGAATGAGAAAAATGAAATAATACTAAGCATAATACAATATTCTAGATTTAATTATAATTAGGAAAAAGTTAGTTTTGAGAGTACTTTTCATAGGCATATAGAATGAAATCTTCTGAAAAATAATATCACATAAACTCATATTATTTTCTAATATATAACTATTTTATATAAAAATCAAATTCAATGATCTTAAAAGCGAAGGATAAACCTCAAAATTTACGAATATAATGAGTGGGAATATAATGCTTATCTATCATAAAACCATATGAAATATCAATTTTTGCTTTACGCCTAATTTTTGACGACAATTAGCAAAAAATGTTAAATGTTAACACTCAGTCCATTTGAATATGAAAAATAAAATTCACTTTGATTAAATGTTTTTATTTATCATGCAATTCTTCTTGCGACCAAAGATTTGAATAAAAGTTCAAAAAATAAGATAGCTTAAAAAATAATATACGGTAGTGTTTACTAATAGATGAATAGTATATAAATTCTATTAAAATGGATTTGATCCAAAAAAATATATAAAATTTGATCATAAATAAAATCGTTTTAAATTACTTCTTCATTTAAATTATAACAATTATTTTTGGTTTTATATTTTTTTGGATCAAATCCATTTTAATAGAATTTATATACTATTCATCTATTAGTAAACACTACCGTATATTATTTTTTAAGCTATCTTATTTTTGAACTTTTATTCAAATCTTTGGTCGCAAGAAGAATTGCATGATAAATAAAAACATTTAATCAAAGTGAATTTTATTTTCATATTCAAATGGACTGAGTGTTAACATTTAACATTTTTTGCTAATTGTCGTCAAAAATTAGGCGTAAAGCAAAAATTAATATTTCATATGGTTTTATGATAGATAAGCATTATATTCCCACTCATTATATTCGTAAATTTTGAGGTTTATCCTTCGCTTTTAAGATCATTGAATTTGATTTTTATATAAAATAGTTATATATTAGAAAATAATATGAGTTTATGTGATATTATTTTTCAGAAGATTTTGTGTTCTTCTTCAAAATTTTACTTTTTTATTAAAAAGAATCTTTACAAAATATACATTTACTTTAATTAATATTTAAAAACGTGCTCTATCAAAAGTTCCAAAAATTCAATATTTTAGCTTTTCTGATGTGTCACTTTTGATGAATTTCTGTTTACAACAGTAGTCTTTTTAATGTGTACCAAATTTTTTATATTCAGTTTTTTTTTTTCATTTTTCCTAAATAAAGTCTCCATATCGTTTTTCTGTCTTAATGTTGAGTGAATCTCTATCAAAAATGTGAATAAGAGACTTTAAGAAGGAAAAGGAGTTTACATTTCTCAGAATTCTAGTTAATACTCCAGAAGCCACATCTTTAGTCTTTTAAATAAAGGGTATAGACTTGGCAATATCCATTTGAGGTATTTTCAATAATTTCTAATAGATATTCTCACATCATATTTCTAGGTTTTCTGGTTTAAACCTAATAGATATTCTGGCATCAAATAGATATTCTCTCATCATATTTCTAATTTATTTCTTAATGATGTAAACTGCTACCCCCTTTCATAAAAAAATGTTGGAAAAAAAATTCAATTAACCAATTTTAATAAATCCTGCTTATTTCATTGTAATGAATATTGTTCAAAAGATTGTGAAATAAAAAATCGTTCAGTTCATTTTATTTTTTTCACAAGACATCTATGTCTAAGGAATTTGAAGCAGAAATTGCTAAATATGAAGATGAAGATAATTTCTCCGTCGAACCAGATGAAGATGGCAATGCATACCATTACGAAATTATTTATACACCACCAGAAGAATCTGATTACGCAGAAGGAATTTATCACTTAAAATGTGAAGTTCTAGCCAATTATCCAAATGCAATGCCAAAAATTACATTCGCCAATTCAATTTATCATCCAAATATTGATAATGAAGGTGGCATATGCAAAGGATATTTTGATGGTTGCAAGACCTTAAAACAAATGATCGATGTCATTGATGATCTCCTCACAAATCCTCAATTTGAAGATGTTTTACGCCAGGATTGCAGAGATACATACAACAAGAATCCTCAATTATTCCATGACATTGCAAAACAAGAAGCTCGTAAGTTATCTGGCCAATAAATGTTGGCTTTGATTTTACATTTTCCTAAAAAATTAAGAAAACTTCATTTAACCATAAATTTATCATTTATTTTACATCACTATAATGAAATAAGGCGTATTGTCATTGTCATATGATAGTTTTAAACGATAATGCTTATTTTTTCTATCGTCCATCAAAATGTAGAGTTATTTTGAGAATATTTGGCAATTTGATAGATCTACATTTCTTATTAAATGCCATTTGTATAGATCTTATTAAGTATTATATTGATTCGTGAATTCTTCTATCTTCGGTACAACCTCCTCAATGCAAGCTTCAGATAGGCATGAATTTAAGCTTTCCTATACAATTCACTATGATACTTCCGTTAAAATCAGACTAAATAAACGAATAAAACCAAAGAATATGAAAAGTAGTTTATTCACACCCGAGAAATTATACTGGAGCCTACTTTTCATGATATGACTGAATTCAGATGCATGATTCGGCTCATTATAAGGTTGTCATCACTTATTCCTGAATTTAGTAGAGTTATCAAGATTAGTTGTCGAATGATTCCAAACTGTTCATCATTATCGAATATATTTGCAGAACAAGAAGCTCTGAGAAATATTCTTTTGCGGCAAGTTTTAGGGGAGATTCTATAGACAGTTGTCATACCAGAAAGCTAAGTTATAAGAAAACATATAAACTTCAAAACTTGAAAGATGTTTTCTTGTTTATAATATTATAAGAAAACATATAAAACTTGAAAGATATTTTTATTCACAAACAAACATAAAAAATGTGCGTTAAAAGCAATTTACGTGTTATATGGCGTTATATAATAATTGCCTGTAAAAGTATCTATTATTTAACAAGATCTTGGCTATCAAGGTTATTTTCTTTAATTTTTTGAGCTAATTGAATTGTAGCTTGTTTTAGTCTATCGTATGTAATTTTATTTTCATCATATGCAAATACTATGCATTCTTTGCATTTGCACATAATAGCGAAACTTGTATTTGTAGTTCCAATGTAAATTTCATCAGATAAACTAAGAGTTAAGTATACCTGATTCTGAAAACTAATTTCATCATAAACGCATTTACTATTTGGAACGAATACATTGGCAAAATTTCTGAATTCGTTAGTATTTGTATAAAAACCTGGTGTAGTATACCATACAATGCCTGTGTGACTGAAAATTGCAGCACCTGCGCATTTTCCAATCATTTCATTTAGGATGTTTTCCATTTTGTCACTTTTTTATGCATCAAAAATGAACTCAAGTCTAAAATCTCTTCATTTGCAGGGAATCAAAACATGTGTATGTACATCCCAGCTAGCAAAAACAACAAGATACCATTGAAACTTTGATCCTGTCTTGAAGGAATTGTTGAATTGAAAGGTAGTCCAACAAAAATCTAACATGCGTTTTGGCTTGAAACTCTGGGTGTAAGTATGAGGTATATAAGGTAGAATTGTTGATCATAATTTTTTTCTTTGAAATTTATTTATGATTATTAACAAGGAGCTTTAAAAACATGGCAATCATATGATGGAATGAGTCGAATATGACGAATTCCTTTACAATGCATTTGATGAATAAAGAAACATAGAATTTTTATAAGAAATTTTTAACAAAAAAACAAAGATTCTAAAAGTCTTCTGAATCAATATCAGAAAAATCTGGAGTTTGTAAAGCAGCATAGAGAGTAGATGAAGATTGAGCGAGTTGTTCATTTTCACAACTCATATAATCGATAATTAGACTCATTCCACCTGAATCTTCGAGACTTTGGTTAATATCATTTATTATTTCTTCATTTTGAGTGTTAGCCATCTTCTCAAGTGCTTTCGTTAACAAAATTTGAAGATTGAAATCATCAATGGCCATAGATTCAGCTAATTCGCAAATAATCTCGGAATTTACAAAATCAACTTCTCCGTTAGGAATTGAATAAATAAATGCTGCAACAAATCTGATGCACTCTGTTTTTTCTTTAATTGATCGAATGTTAGAAAGATTTTCAGAAATCAACTTATAAATATTGTTTTCGATTAAAAGATGTATACCATTATCTCCAAAACTAAATATTATCTCAGTTAGAACGGAAACTGCTGTTGTTCTGATTTGGATATCTTCATTTGACAAAAGATTAAAAATAATTGAAAAGTCAAAGTCAAAACCTTCTTTACAGTATTTAATAACTCCTTTGAGAGTAATTAAACCATCAATAATGAGTTGACTTTCATTTGTATTAATTTGATCGAGAATACTCGTAATAACTATGTTATACCCGATTTTTGATAGTGAAACAGGCATAACAACTGAGACTCTAGTTATAAGATATGATCGATCTGGAGATGGTTCTAAATTTGGTACAATTTCGGCAATTTTATTTGAAAAAAGTTCTGATGTTGGATAATTAAATATTGATGAAACAAATAAGAAGGCTGCATGTAATATTTCTGGATTTGAATACTGATGTAAAAGTGATGAGACAATATCAGCATATTTAAGCGTGTATAGTATGCATTGTTGATAATCTTGAGACTTATTTGAAGCTAACTGATAAAAGCGGAAAATTTTGATTTCAAATTCGTTGTCAAAGTCAGGAAATTGATTTCCAAGTGCTCCTATAATTGTTTTAACACTTTCTCCGCTGAAATTGTGTGTATTTATGATTGTTTCAAGGCATTCAAACGCTAAATTTCGAATCTGAGCTGGTGCTGAAGGAAAACTACTTTCGATCATCAAGTTTAATATACGAAATTCATCAAATGGTGGCGTTATTTTAAAATTTTTGGAACTGATTATTGTTAATAATTCATTAAAAAGAGAAACGGCATTATTTTCATTGCTTTCTAATAAAGATTGGGGAAAAACTTTATAAAATTGCATTGCTTCTCCTTCATTAAATACTCTGTGACAATCATCATTCAACATTATTCGCTAATATCGTTGTGGAGATGGACCATCTAACAACAAAATGCGCAATTTATTTATATAGTAAATTTCAGATTCTAATTCTGAAGTTTATCTGCAGCAATTATATTTATTGTAACACTGTTTGATAAATGACATTTGCTCAATGCAAAATAGGAAATTAAGTATTTTCTTAACAAAACATATAGCGTGTTGCATAATGAAGAGTTTCCTAGTTTGTAATATTCTTTTGCTTAGTGAGAAATATAAGAAGTTCAACATTTTCTTTACTATTGCTTATCACTACATAGTGAAGATGTGTCTCTTTCCATTTCACTTAACTATCTATCTACTGCATAATGAAGAGGGGTTTCATGATCTTTATCTTTTGCTTTTATATCTTTATCACCGTGAGAGATAAGAAGTTCGACTATTTCTCTCTCATAACGGTTTCTGGTACCACCAAATCTGTGATTATATCCTATTAGTTTTTCACATTTGTTATTCTATCCTCATTTGATAATATGTGTGTGTGTTCAGCCTTGGAGTGCATTTTTCAGTACTATTCCACAAGAACTGGCCTCTATATTTAGTGAATTTCTGGAAATTGAACTCTGAATATCCTAAATTTTCCATCCAAGGCAAATATTAATATCAATGAGTATTATTGATGCTAAACCTCTCAATAAGTGAAAAAGGTACATTCACTATTTTTGACAAAATTTTAAATTTTCATGGGGTTGTAAATCTTATAATAACTAGATGAATAAGGAATGAATCCCAGTATAATGTGCATCATTATATTAAACACTATATGTAAGGCTAATGATTCTATTAACACTTATGAAGATCTATAGTATTTGAGCAGATAAATTTGATAATTTCCAAAACTCTTATATTTCAAAATTAAAGTGTGCGGATGCATTTAAATGAGAGCAAAAAGAGATTGATGCTGTTAAAACTAGGTGTTAATTTGCAATTATTTCGCATCACAAGAACTACCCAGTAAATTCGGCTATCTTTCTTTGCAATTATTCTCCATTATACATATAATATAATGGTTAGGGTTTGAAGAAAAGTTACTAGAGAATTATTGACTTTTGAAATAATGCAGAATTTTACTTGAAGAAATCATTAATTTATGAGTTCCAAATTGCTAAGCATGACGAAGGATCATTAAATTTGCTACAATTAAATACACTTATTGCAGAATTAAGATTATTGAAATTAAAAGTTTGAAATATTGCCTTTTTGAATAAAAATTTAAATTTGATTATATAATCATGATAATATATTATTGAAATTAAAAGAAAATATTTTAAACCATTCAAATATTTTGAATGTCTTATCAATTTAAAATATTAAAAGATAGCTTGATTTTATCATCATTAGTTGTTATCAAAGTTTTCTTCTTTTGATGAACAACAGTAAATGATTTGTTAATTACTTGTCTTCCTTTTTCGCAGCAAAATCGAAAGTTATGATGATAATCTTGCTGTCAATTTTGAAACTCTCTGATTTACAAGTAAGCATTCCTTTGGAAAAGCAGTCCTATTCTGTTTTCAAGATATTTTAAAGCCTCCATTTCATACAATGCGCAGATCTATTCGAAATTGCAAGAACTCTCAAGAAAAATGCAGCAGCAAAGAAGATTCCATAGTTTCTAGCATCAAAAATTTACAACCTTAATACAACAGTTAAAGAGAAGCTCGAAAAGAAAATATTTAACCATAAAGCTGGAAACCATTCGATATCTATTATTGGATCTAATAAAAAGTTAATTATAACATATTTAACATGCTATTTGTTGACTTTGTTCCATTATATTACCATATATATCTTTTTGAAATCTAAAATATTTTTACGATTTTAACCATGTGTTGTTGAAACCATATATCAATCTTAGCTAAAGTATAGTTTATGAGTCTGTCACCATCTAACGTATGAATTTTCAAAAATGTCAAATATGTTCATTTTTTCTGTAGATTCAGCCATAATTTCACGTTGTTATACTATTCAACTATTATTTAATATTTTTATCGATTTAAATATATGATGAGATGCTTAGTTCTCCTGGAAATCGATTTTTAATCGCAATTTTAACTTTCCAAAAAAAATTCAAAAATAAAAATCCCTCTCAATTTTTTCAGTTTTATAACTCGCCAAATCTCTAGCCAAATTTTTTTTGGCCCGTATAAATATTGTTAGGCACTATATAGGGATGCTATTTATCCTATTTTCATCCCATTTTACTGTTATCGCCTAGTGAATGTACCTTTTAAGTGAATAATAACTGTTAATTAGAAACAAAATTTATAAATTTGTTGTGACAGCACATGAAAAATCATATGTAATGGAAATTCTGTTTGTACTTCATCAAATAGTTCATTAAAAATTCAAAAAAAAAGATGATGAATAATAAATTTTGAATATCACATTAAAATATATTGTGACAGTAAAAAGAAATTTGTAAAAATTGAGGTAATATACATAGTATATATATCTGAGTAGCAGAAGTATTTTAAAATCAATTTACCAGTTCTCGCGGAATGGAGCGTTGGTGATTGTCTGGATGAGTTCTGGCTTAACAACGTGGGAAGCACGTGGTTGAGCTGGAAGGCGCTTTGGAAGAGCAATCTTTGTGCCGGCCTTCTTGGCTTCCTCGTGAGCCTTGAGGTTAGCCTGGCAACGAGCAACGAAATCGTTCTTTGACTTGGATGGGAAAACGTGCTCTGTGCGGACGTAGATGCGCTTTGGAGCGATGTGGTTGTTGACACGGCGCTTAACAAGGATACCAACAGCGTGTGGAGAAACGTTCCAGATGATACCTGTGGCACCATGGTAAACGCGGTTTGGCATACCAGAGTGGAGAGCACCATTGACCTTGATATCGACAATGTCACCAATACGGAATGTACGGAGTGTGATGGATGGGGCTGGAGCACCATGCTTGCGGAACTTACGAGCGAAAAGATAGCGTGTAGCGTGACGAAGACCCTCAGTGTGTCCCATCGAAAAAGGCCAAAACAAACCGCTAATTCCCCTCAATTTAGAGACAGACTCCCCCAAAATTAAAAATATTTTTTGTGAAATTCTCTATTCGATTTTGTACAAAAATAAGCAAGGAATTTAATGATCTTAATTTTGTCCACAAATAACGATTTTTCTCCATTGCCCATCTTATTTCATCTAAACTGAGCAATAACAATAGTGTGTTATAAAAGGTGTTACTTATGGTTATGCAAATATTTTCTAATTCATGATAAAAACCATCTTTTTTCCAAATGTTTCATCAAATCATTTGCTGATTCATGCTATTTTTAATGGTATTTGTTATACAATCCTATCACCATATTAGGCAAACTTAGAAATATCGGATGAATATCATTTTGAACAAACTATAAAAATAATTTTAATTTATTTCTTAAGAGGAGCATCAGCAATAGCTTGGATTGCATCAACGGACAATCCAGCAAGCATAAGCCTTCTGCAGGCATCAGCAATATGAGGAAGTTCAATCATGTTGCCATCACTGCCAAAAACGCCCTTTCCGTCAATGTAAGTAGTGATGACGAACTTAGTGATAAGGTCTTTGCATGCTTTGACTTCTTTTTCATCTGGTGTGAAGGCTTTGTTCACTGCCTTAATTTGCATTGGATGAATGACTTGTTTACCAGTGAAACCATAAGCACGTGTGCTTAAAGCCTCTTTGGCAACAACTTCGGCGTCTTTGAAGTTTGTAGATGTCATATCGATTGCTTGGATGTGTGCTGCACGTGCGGCAGCGACAATTGCAGAGCGGGCATATTGTACTGGTTCAATAGAGCCACGCTGGATACCAGCTGCTGAACGGTAGTCTTCGGCGCCAAAGATGACACCATCAACTCTTGGAGATGATTTGCAAATCTCGCTAACACGAGTTAATCCAAGTGGAGTTTCAATCATAGCAAGAATCTTTGCATGAGTTGCTTTGTTCAAGCGAAGCCACCTAGAAACATAGCGAACTTCTTCTGGATCTTCAACTTTTGGAATTATAACTGTTTGTATACGCTTTGAAGCTACTGGATTAAGCATGATTTCGTTTAAATCGAAAGCAGAATCCTCGGAATCAACAGAGTTAATACGGATTGCGAGTTCTGGAATGACTTTTGAATCCTTGTTGAGATACTCAAGGATATTCTTACGAGCTGCAGATTTTAATGTTGCTGGAACTCCATCTTCAAGATCAAAACAAACTGTATCAAGTTCTTTTAACAAAGCAGCCTTCTCCAATTTCTTCATTTCCATGGATGGAGCATAAAGAATGGCACGACGTGGCTTAATTCCACTGATAACTGTCTTGACATCAAACTTCTGTGACATTTATGAAGTTAAATGACAAAAAAATAAATTGAGAGTATCTTGATTGGGACAACCGTTTTATTTTGAGAGTAGATAAAAACTTCACAAACTTACTTCGTCAATGGTTTGAGACACTGAAATTTCAAGAATTACATTCTCTATAAGAAAACATAATAATTTTCTTCTAGGATATGGCGAAAATTTCGGTTCTGGAATATCAAAACTGAAGATTTTGCAGATTTGTTCTTTTTTGAATGCGATTAACCATGAGTATCTAAGCATCTCAAAATTTAGAGCAATAAGCATGTGATCTCAAGCAATATTCGACATTTCATATTTTTTGTATTACAAATTCATTTATTAGTGTCTTGTACAATACAATCATTTGATATCTCTGTTAATCCTTATATTGCTGCTGCTTTTGTTTATTTACTTAATAGAATTCTCTTCCGTTCAAACATCAATTCAAATTATTATGAGGATTCCACGAAGCATTTCACTTTTATTTCATATGTTTAAATGATGCCAAATCTTTTTAAAACATTCTTTTTCCTATTTCTACATAAATTCTCACTAAAAAATTTTGAATTTGAGACTGATTGAACACTATCATAATTAAAGTATTATACACATAAAGATCTTAATTCATGTTCTTATATTTGGTGAAATTTTAAGTAAAATTTAAGGGTGCACTTACGCCCCTATGACGGGGCATTCAATTTAGATGTTTAAGGTTAATTTTCAATGACGCTTCACGCCAGTTGTCAAAAATTTAAATTAAAGTCAGATGGGCGTAAGTGCAGCCTTAAATTCAGGAAAAATAAGTACCATCCTTTCACGAACCTCAGAGTCTACACAAAAACCACGGAGTCCATTGAGAGAGTTCTATCAAAAAGTCAAATTTTCTTAGAAAGATTTGAGAGCTTCACAAAAATTGAGAGATATACTCATAGGATTTGGAATGCTGAAAAATAGTAAATCTATGATATTTAGTATCTATACCGAACATTAGTTTATATTTCATCAACAATTGATGAATTTGCATATGCGAGACCGTTTAGATTTGTGAAAAAGTAAACGTTCACCATTACATGCGGGAATAGCTCAAATTTGCACTGAAATCCTTTATTGCGTTATTATCCGCTTGGTTCTCCAACTAATTTAAGTGATACCATGCAGATTTATCATATAAATAGTAGAGATTAAGTAGATCTTCTTCTCACGAATCTTCTTGAGAAAGACGATCTACGTTCTATTGTTATTTTATGATAGTACAGGCATAAGTTTATGGTTTCTTTCAAAAAAACCTAAATCAAAAAAAATTAATAATTTATATTTGAAATTTTGGTTTGTTACAAGCCAAAATGACAATATAAACTATTACATTACAGATCCTGCCATATCAGGCTTTGAATGGCATAAAAAAAATATTATTTTTTTTTAGGCTCCAAATATTACTAATAGCGTTCGAATAACGTACTATAGCAAAAGCCGATAATATTCCCTTAACCTTGGCGTTAATTTGATTAAAAATTTAATTTTTTACCAATTTTTCAAGAAAATGAAAGAAATATGTTTAATACAGTCCATTAGGGCAAAATGAATCATTGGCAATGTTATACTAGCCAAAATAGGCCTATGGGGTGTAGCAATGCTCTCAATTATTTGAAATCCCTTTCAAAAATTGTGTGTCTCATAGAATTCACTCCGTGGTTTTTGTGTAGGATCTGAGGTTCTCAAAAGGATGGTAAACTGCTTGCCCTAAGGTGGATAATAGTCAAATTTTTTTTTTACATTTTTAGTGAGCGGAACAGAGACACAACACGCTTTGAAATCACAAGATGCATGGCTTTAATGATTAGAGATGCAATAATATTGCATCTCTTTATGCTCAAACAGATCCTATTCTGAATTACCCGAAAATATTGCAACCGTTATGCATTGCTACCAAATTGCTCTACTGTCCACTTAACATACTCATGCTAGGAACTCCAAATTCTTCAACTATTTACTCTAAAAACTTATAAACGTTCATCCTAATCAAGCAGCATTTCTCCTTGAACAGACATTGCAGAAACTTACGAATAAGTAATTGTTAGTCATATCAAATGATGCTCCTTTTCAGCTACTTGTTTCTCTTATAATTGTTCTCATTAGTAAATCATAACTTTAACTTTTGGAGTTTTCTCCAAAAATAGATACTACCCATATATCCGAGCTACCTGGATGCTAGTTTTCTTATATCTCGGATAGTGTGAAAAATTTAATTATAATATCTCATAATTTCCATTTAATGAGTTATATCAAAAATCCACTCCGTCATTTCGATTTTTTAGGTCTTTCTGGACCTTGCTGCATTATTTATTTTTATCTATTTTGTTTTGTTGTTTCTAAATAAATTATTTAAGTTGGACGAAAGGTGGTTATTTTTGAGAGAACTCATTGAATTCCTTTCAATATTGTCCACCTTAGGGCAAGCAGTTTATGTATATATCTCAGAATATGATGAATATTAAAGCTTCATATTAAAATATATTTCAAAGAATCTCAGAAGAAATGTATCTTGTATTATCGGATACATATCATATGACTCAATGTTGTATAATTCCAAAAGAATATATAATATGAAGCCTGAAAAAAAGGGTATTATATGGTCGGATTGATATAAAAACCATAAAGAAGTCGCAAAAAACTATATATATTTAATTACATAAATTCTACCTTCAATCTGACTCAGAATAATAATCTTCTGAGTCTGAAGAATAGTCATTCATAGAATTAACTTGATTGGCTCCTTTTATGATTGGTGTATCAATAGACTTTAAGTCGCCGACCGATAATGAAATGACCATGAGAGATTTATTGGATTTGATGGGTGTAGATACTTTCTTTATATTCGGAAGCTCATAAACAAACTTGCTTAGTGCAGTATGTGTGTTTTCTTGCTTCTTGCTCTTTAATAAAAATGAAAACTTGGATTTGTTATTGCTGATATTGTTCTTTTCTGTATTATTGTTATTGTTGCGTTGGATAGGCTTCGGTGGTATATATTCAATGTTATTATGCTCATTATTTTTTTCATATTTTGTTTTCTTCTTCGACTCCTTGAAGCACGAGATATTTAAATTATCGAATGATAGTGATGTAGGGCAGAAGCGCGCTAACTGTGCCGCAATTAATACGCTATCTAACTCGGGTTCAGGCATTTTTCGAGAGGCCATCGTAATTCGATGTGGTCGGCCAAAATCAAAATCAAAAAGACAACATTGATCAATTTTATGACAAATAGCTGTACCATATGATAATATTGAAGAAAACTCTGCTGAAAGAGCCGGAATACTAAAATTTAGAAAACATAAAAATTGAATCTTGATATTATTGAATAGTATAAATGTGTTTAATATGTATTAGCAGTACACATCAATTTCAAAAATATTTAAATACTGTCTGCTGATATTCTTCGAATCTGTTAATAATTTTTTGATATGATTAAGAGAAATGATTCTGTATACAAATGTAAGAGATACCATGCAGAGAAATTTAAATTTCTTCATTACAATTTTGAGTTATATTACAATGTGAAATCTACATTTTTTCTTATATTTTTTTTGAAAATCTAAAAACTCAATTAAAATCATCTAGTTTTATGAAATTAAAACGGTAAAAATGAATATTTATTGTCATGAAAATAGATTTTACTATTGATTTGTCAATTGAAGTATAATTCAATAACCAACTTAATCAATATATTGTGGAAGCCTAATATTGCATGAAATTAGCAGAATGCAAGTCATGGTATAATCACTTATCAGATCTCATCATTTTTTCACGAAATTTCTCTTGTGTTTGAAAAGTGACAAAATGATTAAATCTGTTATTCTTGATGCTGATGGATGCATAATAAACTGGAAACTTGTGAATGCAAGCATTCATTTTCAAGTTACTGGACATAGACCATCAATTGATCTCCGAAATAAAATTTTAGGTAAAAATCCATACGATGCATGGACAATTATTCGAGATCATTATAAATTAGAAGAATCTGTTGAATCATTATTGAAAAGGCGTAATGAAATCATCAATAAACTATATCCAAAAATGGATCTTTATCCAGGCGTGTCAAAACTTCTTGATTTTCTAAAAGATAGATCTATACCATATGCCATAACATCAAGTGTTTCAGATGCAGACACAAGATTAAAACTTTCTGGATATCCGAATATTATTAACAATGCAAAAGCAATAACATGTGCTGATAAGTCTATGCCACGAAAGCCAGATCCTTCCATTTATCATAAGTGCTTAAATGAAACATCATTTAAATCTTCTCAAACTTTGATAATCGAAGATTCAGTTTCAGGTATTGTTGCTGCGGCCAAAGCTGGTTGCAAGACACTTTTTGTATGCAATCCAACTTATATTACGGCAGATCAAATGTTTGAAAAGTTTAATACAAAACCAGATTTCAAATGCGAAACATTGAAGGATATTGATTATGTTAGTATATTTAATGAATAAATATTAGTATTTTATAATGCATATTTTTGAAGTTTTCTACAAATATATTTGCAAATCAATCGTATATTTTTATTATACATGAAATTTTTAAAATTTATAACTCTGTTTCAGTATATTATATACATTAGCATCTTTAGGTCCTGCCGGAACAATACCATACCAATTTTTAGTAATCAGATTGAAATATTTGATAAGAAGGTATAAGATATATTTAAGAAATTAAAAAACCCAAAAAGAAAATATAAAGTTTGATAGAAAATATATGAGAGTATATGATACAAGAATGACATTGATTCAAGAAAAGTTTTGTGATTCGTATGGCTCCGTTGCCTGGATTTCCATACCCGTATTCACCATTAGGGAGCGGCATATAGTGATAACCATCTATCATTTCAGTATTGTAGAAAGCGAGACCACTAAAATGTATAGATGGATCACTAGCATCACTAAACGTCATATTTTCTTCCGTGAAATTTTTTGCTATTGCAATACATCCTTTATGCCCGCTGATGAATGAGCTACCTCCAGCACCACCAGAAACGTCAACAATGTGTGATGCACTGCCTCCAAAGTATCCACCACCACCAGCACCATTTCCATCAATTCCATTTGCATATAATCGCTCTTTATTTCCACCGCCAATTCCAAATCTGCCTTTGTAAACTCCTTGCCCAGAACCTCCAGATATTTGGGAACCGCCTTCACTATAGCCTAAATGACCGCCATACCCAGTTAAACCTCCTGCACTACCACCAGGGTCAAAATCTCCAGCATGATATCTTCCATCGCCCGATCCTGAACCTGCAGCAACGATAATACGACTCTTCAAACCGTCAAAATCGTCAAAATCCCCTGGGTTAATGCGGATATCTGACGATCCACCGCCAGAAGCCTGACCAGGGCCTCCTCCACCATAAGAATAAAAAGGAGTGTAATTAGAATACATTGAGCCGACATGTAAAAATAATCTAATTTTCGAATGTATAGCAATTTCGCCTTTTACATAGCCACCATGAGAAAAGTTTTTATATTCGCCATATAATCCGCAGCCACCCCACAATTCAAAAACATAAACACCTGGTTCAAAATCTACTTCATATGGAGACGAAGTATAATGATTAGATCCTTTGTAAGTATATAGTTTACTTTCTGTTCTTATTTAGATAAATAAAAGCAGATTAATTTTAGGATAATTTCCCCGAAGGAATTATAAAAAATGAGTTGAAAACAGCATCATTTATTAATTTATGCATTTATTTTAATATATGATTATTGTATGCACATCATAATGAGTCACTTTAAATCAAATTTTGATGGATTCAATTCCAAAGATTGATATAAATCAAAAAAGTAGCTTGTATTTAATCTCTTTTAAGCCTCAAGTAACTTGCAAATTCATCAAACCTTCCTCCTCAAAGATTGTTATCAACCAAATTATAGCATTATTATATTTATCATTGATTTATGATACGTTTGTAATGCCTAAACTATGGTTTTAAATAATATCGCATATTTACGTACATACATGAAAAATATAAATATATATGATTATTTCTTAGTAGAAACAAATCCTGGAAGATGAGAATTACCAATCTTTGATCGCTTTTGAGGAGATGTTGGTGGTGTGTCCATATAAATACCTCTTTTCATCCTTAATTCTCTACCTTGAATAACTTGATCTCTCTTCTTTAAATATTCCTCTCTTTCTTTTCCTTTTTTCATAAGAACTATTGTAGTATTCTTTCCTCCATGTTTTGCTTCAACTTTATCAACTATTCCAGATCTATCAACAATTCTATTTCCGTCAATCATAAAGTAGTCTTCTCTATAATCTTGCTTCTTTTTCATATTTTTATTCTTCACAGGTGGAAAGTATTCATCTAATGTTTGCCCATCTTCTATATTTCCGTTATCACTAACAAGAAAGTAGTTTGTAGTATCAAAACCGGTAACGGAGGTAATTCTAGCACGGAATTTTTCAACAGTTTCTCTTCTATTATATTTAATTGACACGCAATCACCTTTTTTATTTGGCAAATAAACATCTAAGTACCCATCAAATGTGTCATCGTCTTCTATTTCTAGTACAGGCATATCTTGAACACGTAGCATATATTGTCCATCTAATCTATGATCCATTACAAGTGATTTTTACTAAAATCTGTCACTTTTGAGATTTTGGGATAATATTTCATGGCCTCATAAACCATTATAAAACTAGATGAATAAAGAGTAAATTGCAGTTTATCTTGCACCTATATATTATAAACTATATATGTGGCTGATTCTCTATCATATTCTATGAAAATATATAGTTTTTGTGCAGATAACTTTGATAATTTCTAATATTCTCAAACATCAAAATTAATACCTCTAAATGTATCTAATTAGTATGAGGAGAAGTCTGTTCTGTTAAAACATACATTATTTTTTGTTGCTGGCACATTCCTCAAATAGATTCCAGCCTCCACATAATTTTGTAGATGACATAGTTTCGATTCTCATTGAAATATGAATGTCCATAATATATACTCTTAACATAGTAATATTCCGGAATAATTTTTCATTATAACATAAATATTACGAAAATATGTTTTGATTAAACAGCTAAATGTAATAGTTTCAAGATTTTATGAGTTCTATTATAGATAACTAAAAAAAAATAATATAAAATTTTAGAATATTGAACATTAATTGAAACTCTATCGTAGTTTAGTTCTGTTGTGGCTGGAACATACGGAAAACATTTTGGAATATATTTCCAAAGTTTGGTACATTTTGTTCCTGATTTTGAGTGCAATAAATAGATTTGATTGCATCAAACCACTTCTTGAATTCACTGTCAGTCTCAAGGATTGGCTTGTAAGATTCGTAAAGATTTGTGGCCGCAGCAGAATTTTGTCTTAAGCAGGCATTTGCGAATAATGAAACGAAATGCATAATAGGTTGCTCAAAGAATTCATCTGTAATTCCTTCCGGTTTCGTTTCACGCATTGCCTGAGAAGAAAAATCGTAAAGTTGATAGCCATTTTGGGATGTTCCGAGCATTGATAGGAGGAAACGGCCCATAATGAACTGTCCAGTATAATCTCTATCTTCTTGTGGTAAGGTAGAAATCCAATCCCATTGTGAAACTAATGCTCGGCGAATATAGTCATTAAAATCAATTTCTGGTTCAATCATCTGTCCTGTAGTTGACAATTCAACGAAAAGAATGCAATGAACGTTTGTATATTGCTTTGTTTCAAAAGCTAAATCGAATTTCTTCTTGAAAATAAAATGATCTCTATCTCCAAGTTTTTCTGAGTATTTCTTAGCATATGTGAAGAATTCTGGTGTTGCTGCTTCTGGTGGAGCTCTTTCAATGAAGTTGAACATTAATCTTTTAATTGAAGTTAAAATAGTCTTTGCATCCTTGGGAATGGTTTCAATAGAATGGAGGGCAGCAACTGATGCTGCTGGCCACTGACCTGCATCACCTAATTTATGAGCTAATTTAATTAAGAAATCAATTGCTTCGTCTATTTTATTCTCTCTCTTTAATTTTCTTAGGACAAATGAACTGCGTTCAACAGCTAGATATCCATCGCCAGATTCAGCAATTCTGAAAACAGATTCCATTTTTTTTTCTTGAAAAAAATTAATCGATTTGGATTCAAAATATAATCATCAGATCTCCAAATCAGATGCAGCCAATAAAGAATTTTAGAAAAAAATAAGTAGAAATCGGCAATTTAGCAGGAAGTAGTTCAGCAGATTGAACTTAAATGATATTATCATGTTTAATATTGCATTTTTCAATATTCTTGATATTATATATATGCAACAGGCTTGTTTTCACTTATCAAAATATCAAGCTATAATATTTATACGATGCAAGTGTCTGAAACTTTGGAAGATATATGAACAATGTATTTGTTAGTCTGATCACAGATTGCACCCTAAAACCGCAAGTGTAAGGTTTGGAATGAACTCCATCATATAATCTTTCATGATATTAGACAATTTGATTTTGATGAAAAATGTCTATTAGTAATTCGAAGATATAATTTGCAATATAATATATTATTGTTCATAAATATGTCGTTAAACAGAGGAAAAATACATATTTTTTAAATCAAGAAAAAGTGACAGTTCCTCGAAAATGATGGAAATGTTCCAACAAGCTATGAAACAAAATATGCCTCAGCAGCCACAAGAGGAAATACCTCCTGAGGATGATAACGGAATTCCACTTCCACCAGGAATGACCACACAAGTTACAGATTATCAAAGTAAACAAGGCAAAATTAAAGTTTATGAAATCAGGGAACGTAATACAAACTATATCTTATATGGTACACTTGCTAATAATGTTCAAGGCCTTATATTTGCGTTTTTCTTCAATTTTATTTTAATGGCAATTAGACAATTCTTCGATTACTTAAGAAACGCATTTAACCTCATTAAGGATGCCATTACACATCCAAGACTTACAATTGAACAAAGACTCATCCTTGTTGCAGAATCTATTCTATTTCTCGGTTTAGCTATATTCAAGGCCTACAAATGCGGATTTATAGGAACAGGACCTGTAAAAGAAGTACATAACCCAGCTACACCTTTTATTATTAGAATTGCATGAAAATTTAAATATATTAGTTATATTTTTTTTGTTTAGGTGCCAAAAGTGCCTTGTATAAAATATACATATAGATATCTCCATTAAAAATAATAAATTTAATTTTTTTTCAATTTCAATTTTTTTTATCAAAAATAGTAAATTCTGCAACAATAATATTTACTTATTAAATTACATTACGATAATGACCGATTTCAGTCATGAGAAAAATAATTTAGTTATCATGTCTCATGGCAGTAACTTCGAGGAGTGGAATATTAATCGTCTGGTAACCGTCAACAGTAACACATGCTGGCTGAAGTTTGATATTAAAGACGTTGTAAATAAATTTAAAATCTACTGGATTTCCTTCAATATGACATTCCTTTCCTTCTTGATATTCTTCCATTGCTTGAGTTATACTTCTCTTGAACTCACGTTTGATCAAATATTCTGTATCATCATCAAGAACTCTAGCCTGCTTCATTTCGTCTAAAACTTTGATAAGAGCTTGACCTATTGGAGTACCCATATAATAATTGAATATATGGGTAACGCCCTTGTAGGAATCTGGCTCCATTTGAGTTTCCATTTTTTTTATTGACAAATTTTATCCCCCTAATTTAATTGGTGTAAGAACCAATCTTTAATACGTCACTTTTCTTCACCATTTTTGACAATTTTATAAATCATGTAAAGTCATGCTGAATATGATTTGTATCATTATATTAAACACTGCAATAATCAACGAAGCAGCAGGACTTATAGGTGAACCAAAGTCAGACTACAATAATATTTTTTAGGATGTTCTGAACAAGATAACCAATAAAAAATAGCTTTTATAAAGGATAAGGATGTTAATCCATCACAGTATAGATGATCATATCAATCAATAATTATGTAGATACTGAATTAAAAATTATCCAAACAGAATCTATCGATTCAATGAATTTTCTTCCCCAAGATATAATTAAGGAAATAATAAATATTATTTCGTATAATATTCGAACTTCTTATGGAAAGTCTCAGTCTTGATGCAGAAGAATGGCAAAGTCGACTTTATTTGTATCAGCAACCCTGAAAGGCGCGACTTTCTCAGAATTTTTCCCAAAACACACCATAAACAATTTTGAAGAGAAGCTATTCGACTCTTACGGGCATGAATACAAATTAGCTATTTGTACACATATTATTATATTTATACAAGGAGCTTAAGTTATGAATTCTGGGTTCTAACTCCATTCTGAAAAATAATATATAATTTGGAAACCTCAAAAATATGATTATTCATAAATTTTTAAGCATGATAATATCCACATAGGTATAAAATTGTATTTTCACAAACCATATATGTCTAAAATCTTTTAGTGTTCTAGGAAATCACGATAAATTTTTCTTCACACAATTTTTTTTCTTAATGTTCTTTCATAAATTGAAAAGCTTCATTATCAAGAGGGTGAATCATTATCCTTAAAAATTTAAGTATTGTAAACTTCTCAATTATCTACGATAAGTGGCAAAAAGTGAGGATTTTCATACGGTATCTAACTAAAATTAAAACAAATTTTCATTAAAAAGTTATATAATTCACTTTAAGGTTCTGACACTTATCGTAAAAACGTATTCATCCAATAATTAAGTTACAATTAAATAATGAATATAATATCTATATCATAATGAGTAATGAAATATATCCTTTATTCAAATTTTTTGTTTTCCGTCTAAGTCGAATAGCTTCTTTTTGAAGAAAAACGGTAAGAAAAAAAAAAAAAAAAAAAAAAAAAGGTAGTGGGGCCTCCAGGCGCGTTGCGCCCTCTAGCCCTGAAGATGTTTAGTATAAATGAAGTTTTTATTCGGAAAATTGTTAGTCTTCTGGTGTGAATTCGGAGGACTCTTCTTCTTCCTCCATTGCTTCTGGGAAGAAGCCTTCTTCTGGGTCGAAAACATTATATAATGTGTCGCTTTTCACAAATTATATATGTTTTCATGTTTTGTCACTTTTCTGTCACTTTTCAGGAAAAAAACATTTTTATTATTATATATAAATGAATTTTACAAAACCACCGTTACCGTTCTTTGGAAATGAGAGTAAATGTAAAGATATTATATTGAGAGAACTTAAGAAACTACCGAATGGTCTAACATTTGTAGATTTGTTCGGTGGAAGTTTCTATATATCCCATTTGTGCCATACAATATTCCCAGACTCAAAGATTATATGCAATGACTTCGACAACTATATGGACCGTCTCAAACATATTCCAGACACTAACAATATATTGAAAGAGTTAAAAGAAAAGATTCAGATAGGTAAGATGGAACGTATACCATTAGATAACAAAAATATTGTGAGAGAGGTTTTGAAAAAAGCAGAATATATAGACTGGGATAGTATATCTGCTAGACTATTATATAGTGGTTCTATAAGAGTTCATGACATTGAAACACTTATGTCAAAAGTTTTATATCTTAACTATACAAATGTTTTCAAAGAGGACATAGAAAAATATATTGAGGGTATAGAGTTTGTGAGATGTCGTTGGACAGAGTTGTATGAAAAATATAAAGACAAGGAAAATGTTTTCTTTATAGTGGACCCGCCGTTCTATAACACATGGGATTTTCAATACCAAGTAGACTGGACTTTGAGAGACTCTTTAGAAACTTTAGACGTTTTACATAACCATCCATGCTTTTACTTTACATCCGATAAAAGTGGTTTGGAAACCGTTATGAGATGGTTAGAGGACATACATGACTATGAGTTTAGATATGACAAGATAGAATATGAGAGAGGTCCTATAAACCGGAGAAAGTGTCATAACAAAGAAATTTTATTAGTAAGTAAATGTGGTTTGAAATAGGACTACTTGTTTTAGTTTTTTTCCATTGTGTCATTTATTTCTTTGACGTGGCAGAAAGATATAGAGAATATGAAGATGAACCAATGCCTGCAAATGTTCAGTATATGTACTCGTAAGAGATATTTTTATCTAATATTAAATGGACGCACAGAACTTAGCGAATGCACAGCAACCTGGACAACCAAACCCAGAGAATATTCCAAATGAAGTTAGAATACAAACTGCAATGGCAAACTATGGTCAAGTGCCAACAGATGTACAAATGCAAACTGCCATGTCAAATGACGCTGCGTTAGGTTTGCCACCATGGTATGCAAATATGAGATGGAAAGAGTTTTATACAAACCCTGAAGTGGGATATAAACAACTTTATGCAGATGACGCGAACACAGGAGTTGACCCAGAATATGTTTTCTACCAGAGGAGAAACAGAATGTATGAGCTCCAGTTAAAGAATGCTATGGAACTCAACAGGAAACGTAAGAGACTAGGCGGACATTAGATTTTTACATATAGTAAAATGGGTTTCTTCAGTAGTATTGGAAACTTCTTCAGAAGAGTTGGAAGAGGTATATGGAATGGAATAAAAACCGTAGGAAAAGGAATTTGGAACGGAGTCAAAAATATTGGTAAAAGAGTAGGTCAGTTCGTTGGTATTATACCTAAAGACCCTGAACCAGAAGAACAAGCTCCTGTTATACAACAGCCTGAACTTGCACCACAGTCAAGTTGGCAACCAAATCCAACACCTCAACCGTATTAAAAAATTATATTTTTACCGTTCGATAGTAGTTGTATATGAAACTAAGTTCTAAGTAAAACGCATGGTATAATGGAATTATTCTTTTTCTTCCATCTGTAGTAAACCATACTTGAAAGTCTGAAATACTTCCACTTGGTGGTTCGTATAACTTTGTAGGTTTTTCGTAAAAGTCATTTGCCAAGCATAAGAAAGAGTTTTGGGCGCCAGAAAATGAAGCATGAACAATAATAGCATCTTGGTCGAAAACATTTTCATATGTTCCATTAGGGTTTTCGACTTCATAAAAGTCTGGGTGTACTGGATATGCTGCAGGCTGATTTAACATCCTCATAAATCTATACCATGCCAAGTTGTTATATTTTGTAGAAATATAAACGTTTTCTCCAAGGTCTTCTATTCTATTGATTTTAACAGTTGCATTTTTTCTGTCATAAATAATATCGAGATGGTACTCTCCTTCGTCAATGTTATACTGGTTTGCATATTCGATATAGATATCGTTTATTTTTTCTTGAAAAGCTTGAAGAGTTGTTTCTAAGTTTACAAGCAAACTAACTTGTAAAAGTTTTCCCTGTTCAAATTTCTCATACATACGTTTTTCTTTGTTATAGTATCGAACTTCAAAACCGACCGTAAATGGGAAACCATGTATGGCTTCTGAAATGAACTTCATTCTACGAAAGCCAATAGCTTTTGTGACAGATGGGTCTCTTAGCCATCTTAATGGGTAGTCAAAACGATAGCCTTCATGCTTTACGGTCTCTGTCTCAAACTTTTGACCGACATTAGTAAAAAGTTCATCTAATGGTTTAGTTGTAGCAACTCTTGAATTTTCTTTTTCTATTGAAAGCATATTTTATCTAGAATAAAAATGTCGAAAGATATTGCTTCCATGAGAGAAATACAACACAACCGACAACTCATTATGCAAGCTCTAAATAAGAACACAACAAACTTTTCAAACTATTCTAAGATATCTGAGTCATTGAAAGAAGGAAACTTAAAACTGACATTAAACCCAATGACAGATGAGTTTCTATTTCAAGACAATAAGAACCATACTGTCTGTATAAATCCAACAAAAGGAACTTTAAACGAGAAACCTATAAATGAACTTCTTTTGAAAACAGATGTTGACAACAAAGCTGACAAAGAATATGTAGACGATGCAATAGCAAAAGAAGAAGAAAGAGCTAACAATGCTTATGCAACAAAAGAACATACTCATCCTGAACTAGCAGACAAAACATATGTTGACAATAAAATGTCAAGTGAAGTGACGAGAGCTGAAAACGAATATTCTAAAAAGACTCATACACATTCTATATCTGAAATAACAGACTTACAAGAAACCTTAAACAGTAAAAGTGCCGTTGGACATACACATACCATTGCAAATATTACAAACTTACAAGAAACCTTAAACAGGAAAAGTGCCGTTGGACATACACATACATCTTCTGAAATAACAGACTTAAACGTTAGCCTTGAAAATAAAGCAGATAAAACATATGTCAATGAAATATACCAAAGTTTGATAGGAACAAAAAATATTGAAACTATTGTTGGTGACTTTTCTGTCAATGAAGAAAATAAATATTTTAGATGGCAGTTTGTACAGTCCTTAGAAAATGGTACACGGTATAAACTCATTCCGAAAAAATAACAATGAAATGTATGTAAGCTATAAAAAGAATAATGGTACACAAGTTAAAGTTCCATTAGACAACAACTGCTACTTAAACTTATATGGAGACGAACAAAAGAAATATTTAAGAGTTTATGAAATGACAGATATGACATTGCCTGACCCAGCTCCAGCACCATATTATTATGACTATGGAGATGACGTCAGAACACCACATGTAGATGAACAAAAGCTAACATTATATTTAGATTATTATAGATATAAAAGATATAATGCAATAGAAAAAACGAGAATAGTATACTATTATGAAGATGACAGAAATAAATATTATAGTCAAGATTTTACCTACCCTGAAAACATAAGATTATATTATAAAAAATATTCTGACACAAACCAGAAGAAACCTGAAATAGTTGCACTATATTTTAAGTTCAAAAGAGACAATCCTATAATGTCTCATATGTTTGATTTAATGAACCCAGTAGGTTCTATTTATACATCTATGGAAGCAAGAGGTCCTCAAGTAATGTTTGGTGTTGGTGCATGGGAACAAATAGTCGACAGGTTTTTGTATTGTGCAAACTCTTCAAAGGAAACAGGTGGAAGTAAAACGATTTCAGGTGAAAAATTTACCTGCACACAGTCACTACATAGATTTAAGTACATCTCAAGCAGGTTGGCATAAGCATAGATATTGGGATTGGTCAGGAATGACAAAAGGTAAAGGATATGATGTTAAAGACGACGTTAAGTTTGCTATAAATTGTTACTGGAGTGACACTCAGGGAGAAGGAAACCATACACATTTCGTTTCAGGATATACGCAAACAACGGGACAAAGTAAAGAATACATGCCACCTTACATGACAGTTTACGCATGGTATAGAATTGCTTAGTCGTCATTTTCAACTTCTTTAGCATATTCGTCAGGAGTTGTCTTATATTTGTTAGGAACTGTTTTTGAAAGTATACCACCTTGAACTTTGACAAGTTTGAAACGAGGTCTGACAATAGTCGTTTTATCTTCTGCTTGCAGTCTGTACATTTTGCCATGTTTGCCTAAAACTTCATAATATTCTCTTGTATACTTTCTTCTATTTTTACGAACACGAATGTGAGTACCTGTCGGGTTCCCATTGTTGTCATAGTCAATAGTATTTTCATATGGGTCGCGTTTGGGTATTTCTATTTTTACTTTGTCACCTTTCTGAAGTTTGAAGCCCGGCATTCTTTCTTGTTTGTCTCTTTTGACTAAATTATTAAATATATAGTCTTTCTCTAAGTCAGGGTTGTTTTTCATTTCTTCGGGGGAGTGGTTTCCCAAACCTTTTTGTTTACGGCTATTGTAAATATTTAAAACTTGTCTCATCTTTGCCATGGAGAAGTGTCTATATTTGTCGTCATATGACATTTCATTTGCTTCACCACCTTGTGGTTGGTTTAAGTCTCTTAACATTTTTATACAACCGTCAATGACACCAAGAGCAGAATGGTTTTGGTCGACAATGAAATATTGGTTTACATTTTTTGAACGCAGATAGTTTTTAATATCGTCTGATTTGAAAGAACTTTCACAGTCAGATGTCAGTTTTGTTGGATGGTATTTGTCAACGAATATTGTCAAAGCTGCTAAGATATCTAAAATATTTTTGGACTGTAATGGTATGGCTTCACAGTATCTTGTGTTTGACCGACAAATATTAGCCAGTATGGTGGTCCATCTGTTCTAACTCTCGGAATGTTTTTCCAAGATATCCATAAACCAAGCATTTGGTGTTGAACTAAAGATTTTTATCATGAGTGCTTTCTTTGTCGCTTTAGAAACATAGGGGTCCTTGTTTGGATTCGTCATTTTTTATCCTATAAGAAATGGGTTTATTTGGCGCATTAGCAGGAGTTGCATCCAGATTTTTGCCCGCAGTGGGAACAATAGCCAGAGGTGTATTTGGAGTTGGAAGGAAGATTTTGAGTACATTAGGTATACTTAAAGAAAGCACAACCTATTATACAAACTGTACAGAAAGGTTGGGATGTAGCACGAGATGCAACAAATCTTATTCCAAATCCTGAAACAAGAGGAAAAGTTCAAGGATGGATGGACAATGTAGGAAGACAAGCAGGAAACTATTATAACAAAGCAAATGACTACTATAACCAAGCAGGACACTATATGGACCAAGGTGAAGATTCTTTAACAGAGGATATAACCATGCACAACAGTGGGTAAACAATAACCAACCTCAACCGCCTCAAACGTGGGGAATGTAAAGTTTTTTACTGAGATGAAATGAACAATACAGCATTGAGACAAATGGGTTCAAGATGGATTTGTCGACTTCCAGCAGTTACACAACGTGTTTGTCAAGTTCTTCCTATACCTCAGGAAGTTTTAGACCGACTTAAAAAACCTAAACAACCAGTTGAAAACAAACCAAACTAAAATTTTTTACTGAGATGAAATGACCGAAGAAGTTGAAACGGTAGATTTGACACCACAAACAAAAAGTTCAGAACCATTGTCAAAACCTGTCAAAGAACTTACAGATGAAGAGAAAAATTCAATAATAGAAAGTGCCAGGTCTGGAAATACAAACCCTAACTACAAAGTCACTTTTTCATAAAAAATGGAACGGCAAGTATCTCAAAAAAGAAACAGACTCTCACAAATAAAATATTGAAGTCTGAAGGAGCTTTCGAGACAACAGATGAAAAGTTTACTTCACTGACCAACAGTTCATTATAGAACATCTCATTGACTTAGAGTCGAAATATTCTAAACTTTACAACAAACACAAAAAGTTGAAAGGAAAACAAAAACAAATGGCATATGATATTTATGAAGATGTTGACAACACAACTGTTCCTGCAAGTGAAGTAAAGTCAGAGGAACCGAAAAGTGACGAAAAACCGATAGAAGAAGAAAAACCAAAAACTGAAGATAAACCAAAACCAAAGTTTAGTTTGGAAACTAAACCAAGTCAACCTTCATTAGCTGGTATGGGTTGGCGTCAAAGACTTATGGCAGCAGGCGGTTATGTAAAGTAAAGAAAAAATATTTTTTTTTCTTTTTATAAAAATGCCCCCATATAGAATGGATAGAAAATCTGCTAGAATAAAAGCAGAGTTACAAAGATATGGTTGGAGAGTTTCGAAGAAGTTTAAATATAGGAAGGGAAGACCCATAAAAGTCTATGACAAACTGGCTGGTCTGACCTACGAAATGGATTTGGAAACAGCACGTGCAAATTATCCAAACAGACTAGAGAGGTTAGAAGAAGAACGTCTTATGGACATGCCTTTCGATGTTAGTGAACCTCAAGTTGAAGGACACGACGGCTTTGCCAGATTCTACTGGAAACATGACGAACAATTGCATCCTTTGAGAAGGAAAAAAGGTAGTGCAGAGGATGGTCATGCTCCCATGGAAAGAACAAGATATGCATATGAGAAGTACCGTGAAGTTAGAAGTCAAATACATCTGGTCGAACCTTTACAGTAAACTTTGACGAAGGAAAGAACAAAGAAGGCTTCATGGGTGTACTTGCTGCCATACAAGACGGAAATAAGAAAGGACACAATCTCAGATTGACCATAAACAGATTTGGATGGTCACATTTACTATGCAAATGGCAATGAACAAACAGCCGCAAAACTTCTTGACGCTTTCAAGACTACAAAGAGAGAACAAATGGTTGACTCCGACTTCAGACATTTTGAATGCAATTGAAGGAATTGCAAGTGTCAAGTTCGAATGGTACCAACCTAACCCTCAAGCAGTCAGACAACATGCTGGATACTTCCCGTTCATAAATAAGTCTGACATTGACTTGACAAGGTATGGAATTTACAATTCAATTGAAACAATTGTCAATGAACCTTGCATTCTTACATGTCTCAGGAACTCTGGTCTTGTTACAGATGAGAAGATGAAGTATCTTGAGTCATGTGTGAAGACAAGGTACATTCTCAGAGGTCAATTGGCAAAAATTGCACCGTTGGCAAATGTCAATATCCGAGTCAACATACCTACAGCTAAAGGTTCTTCACATGACGACTATGTTGTTTGAGTTCAATTTACCATAGTTGAAGATTGTAATTGTCCACAACCACTTCATGTTGAACGAAAGTCTTACAAACCCATTGTTCGGAAAAGGCAAGTGCAACATTGTCAGAGCTGTAAACATTCTTTTCGAGAAAGGTTTGTTGGAACCAATTCCAGATGACAAGCTGACAGAAACTTTTGTACAAAAGACGAAAGACGAAACAAACTTTTCACTGTTAGCAAGACAAAAGTTGTTCCAGACAAAGTTCTAGTACAAAAGAAGTACACAAATTCCACAAGGAGTTGGATTGTTCGGATACCAACCTGAACCAGAAGAACTTCCAATGAGGTTGCAAGAACTTCAAGATGCTATAAACAAACTTCCATTGAGACATCCAATTGACGTCAAATTGTATTGGAGAGCATCTGAGTTAGGTCAGAAGGTTTTATATGAAACAGGTTGCTTCGACGATGTTTATGAGATAACAGGAGAAGTTTCGCAGAAGATAAGAGACTCACTTGAATTTCCACAAACTGGACCAATTGGTTGCGACAAGTTCGACTCAAACGAAAAGATATACTATGTCGACCTTAACGCTGCGTACATGAGGTTTGTCCAATATATTCCGACTGGAATTCCAAACGAAGAGGTGAGTTCCCGGGAAGGAACTATACAGTTGGAAAAGTCATACAACAACTGTATGATATTAGGAAAGCTTCAAACCCCAAACTTGCAATGACACTCAAATTGCTTATATGAATTCGACATGGGGATATTCCATTAAGAAACCTCAAGAGATGAAGAGTAAACATTATGAGAAGGTCGACAACTTTGTTGAAAGGTTTTCTTTTTGTTTTGAAGTACGAATTCACTCAAGGTCAAAGTGGCTTAGTAACCACATTAAAACCTATTGTCGAACATTGGTCTTACCCTCAGTTCGCAAAGGCAGTCCTTGACAACTACAACAAATTCTTCTCCGAAGTCAAATCCAAAGTGAAGGTTTACTATGAGAACATTGACGCACTCATGACGAACGAAGAAGGCTATAACAAACTCATTGAAATAGGTATGGTCGGTGAAAAGATGGGCTGTTTTAAGCTAGATAAGGTATTTTCTGAAGTTCATGTCCTCTCCAAGCGTAAGTACTGGGGCATACTTGAAGACGGCACAGAAATAAAACATTGCATGAAATAAAAATTTATTTTTAAAAAAGTGACATTTTTTAATTTTATTTGAAATGTACGCTGAGTTTGTTGGAGAAGACCGTTGGGAAACTTGTTTGTTAGATGAGAAATATGAAATGGCATACCATTTTAAAACAATATATTTTTACATATATTAAATGCTTCAGGTTGAAAAACAAAGAACAAAAGTAGCAGATACCAAACCCGTTAGACTATATCTTTACAAATGCTGGTAGGACTATTTCAGATGAAGAAATTTCATCCCGAGCATACAGGTTTGACTATCCAATTCGTTGGCTTCAAAGTCCTTCAGATGCAAAGGCAATAGGATTTAGAAGAGTTTTGTTTTCAAATAGAACTAACGCATTTATGTTCGCAGTATATTTTCAGGGCAGTATAAAGGTTCTGATGGTCTAATAGACAAATTTGACGAAATGAGAATCTTTTACAGTTCGTTCAGGACGAAAGTCTTGAGAAAACTCTAAATGACTTTCAAACTCAAATGAACAAATATTATTGGAATTTCAAGAAAAAATACGACTCTTTACTAAATGGAACATACTATCTGAAACTAGAATATGACAAGATGAACTTCCACCGTTTCATTTCAAAAGATTGAATTAACCCTCCAAGAGATACAGAGTTTTTATATTGGAAAGTAGACAAACGTTCTTGGGCACAATTTCTTCGGTTACTAAACCAGAACGAACCATTACCACCAGATGGTCCATTTAAATTTATACTTCCACCAGCAGATTTGACAGTTTATAGAAACGTGTTTGACCCTCAAAATGTTATGTGTCATGCAAGTTTCAGTTCAAGCAACAATAGTTTTCTATGTATTGGTAAGGACTTTTATGACTTTGCTTCTAAATTCTACGAACCACCTAGTAACAGTTTCTCTGACTTTCAAGTTTGGTTCACAACAAATGGTGTGCAACATATTATTCCATTGTACTATGACTTTTATCTCGAATTGTCTTTCATATATAACTACGGAAAAGTGCTGAAAAAGTATTGAATGTGAAGATATTAGAAAATAACATTTTTTCTAACCTCATGAATTTTCATGAATTTTCCCGAAATAAAAAATAAAGTTAGTTTTATATAAAATTCATGCAGGAAATTCTTGAGTTTTGGTTGAAAGAATACGGTGGAGCCAAAAGTGGCTCGACCTCAAAACAAGCATTTTATGAGCTTACAAAGGGTGTTATGAATGAATTCAAATGTATTTACATACATCCTGACCTCGTTCATTTTGTTCCCGGACCAAAAATATAATTTAGGGTAGAAGGTTAGATCTAACCTCTTTTCTACCCTCTTGAATTTGTCAAGACTTCTTCGTAAATGTTTTGTCAAGACTTCTTCGTAAATGTTTTGTCAAGACTTCTTCGTAAATGTTTTGTCAAGACTTCTTCGTAAATGTTTTGTCAAGACTTCTTCGTAAATGTTTTGTCAAGACTTCTTCGTAAATGTTTTGTCAAGACTTCTTCGTAAATGTTTTGTCAAGACTTCTTCGTAATGAGTGTAAAGGACCCAAAAATAAAGTTTATGTTAGAATGTTAGATCTAACATGTTTTCTAACATGTTTTCTAACCTCTTGAATTTTCATGAATTTCCTTAAGATAGAAAAAATAAAGTTAGTGTCATTTTGTATTTTTTTGTATGTAAGATATGATTTCAGGGATTTTTTTGACGAAGTGTCAACCTTCACTTCGTCAAAAAATAACAGTTATCTAATGAAAAAGTGTCATTTTTGTATTTTTTGTATAAAAGATATGATTTCAGGGATTTTTTTGACGAAGTGTCAACCTTCACTTCGTCAAAAAATAACAGTTATCTAATGAAAAAGTGTCATTTTTTGTATTTTTTTGTATAAAAGATATGATTTCAGGGATTTTTTTGACGAAGTGTCAACCTTCACTTCGTCAAAAAATAACAGTTATCTAATGAAAAAGTGTCATTTTTTGTATTTTTTTGTATAAAAGATATGATTTCAGGGATTTTTTGACGAAGTTGTCAACCTTCACTTCGTCAAAAAATAACAGTTATCTAATGAAAAAGTGTCATTTTTTTGTATTTTTTTGTATTTGACGAGAATGTCGGGTAGATGGTTAGATCTAACACGTTTTCTAACACGTTTTCTAACCTCTTGAATTTGTCAAGACTTCTTCGTAAATGTTTTGTCAAGACTTCTTCGTAAATGTTTTGTCAAACATGAACGTAAATGTTTTGTCAAGACTTCTTCGTAAATGTTTTGTCAAACATGAACGTACATGCTTTGTCATGATTTCATCGTAAATGTTTTGTCAAACATGAACGTAAATGTTTTGTCAAGACTTCTTCGTAATGAGTGTAAATCAGACAAAAATATAATTTATGTTAGAATGTTAGATCTAACATGTTTTCTAACATGTTTTTTCACCTCTTGAATTTTCATGAATTTTCCCGAAATAAAAAATAAAGTTAGTTTTATTTTTTTTTATTTTTTTATTTTGTATAAAAGAACAGAAATGTCAACAATCGGCACAACAACACTTCAAACAACTACAGCACCAAACTCGTTAGTCATGAATCCTACGTCAATGTTAGTAGAAATGAAAAGCTTCATTCCTTCTTCATATACTTTCGAAACAAAAATCCAGAAGATAAAGCAAGAACTTTTAACAAGTAATTTAGACTGTAGTGCGAAAGATGAAACAAATGAACAGTATCTTTATGAAATGGAGGACATTCTTGACCATTTGCCTAAATTGCCTGAAATTCAGCAACAAAAACTAACCATTCCTGAATTCGATGAAATAGAAGTCAAAGCAACTGACTCAGTAGAAATAAAGAAGTTCATACGAAAGGTAAATTATGAATTCCTTGGTTTTCATTGCAACCATAAGGTTATGGACAAAGATTGCGACATGTTATATAAGAACATCTCTGACATATATAAATCTGAAGAATTTAAGACCTACGACAACTTTGTTTCGTTAGTTGCAGAATGTGTATGGCAGATAAGAGATAAAGATAGAAGAGGCAAAGTATGGAACAAACAAATAAGACCAGCAACTTTTGAGTTAAAGAAAACCATTGACGCTTTAGTTGTTTTAGCAGGTAAGGTTTCAGAATATAACGCAAAAATGAACCCGCAATGTTCTAAATGTAAAGCGGCAATTAGGAAATATAACTACTCCGTCAAAGAGATAGAACGTATGAGAAACGACTATGCTGACTTAAAGAAAGAAGCAGAAAAGCCAGCAGAAGATAAAATGAACATGTTAGAATTTCTGAACAAAAACTATCCAACAGCAGAAGATTTCCTTCTATCTGACGTCAAGAAGAAGTATAAAGAAACCTTCGGCATAGTTAAAACATTCGATATCCTCAGCGAAGAAATAGAAGCTACAAAACTGTTTAAAGTCATGAACCATCGCAACATATACCATGTAAAACGCTTGTAAATAGTTATGTTAGAAAACGTGTTAGAAAAGAGGTTAGATCTAACATGCTAACATAAAATATATTTTTGTCTGATTTACAATGAAGTCTTGACAAAACATTTAAGTTCGATGAAGTCTTGAAAATTCATGAGTTTTGTATGTTTTAGACCATGTTAGAAAACGTGTTAGAAAACATGTTAGATCTAACATTCTAACATAAAATATATTTTTGGTCATTTACAATGAAGTCTTGACAAAACATGGAATCTCTTCCCTCGGAAAACCGAGAGAAGCAATCATATGACAAAGTCTTGACAAAACATTTAAGTTCGATGAAGTCTTGAAAATTCATGAGTTTTGTGTGTTTTAGACCATGTTAGAAAACGTGTTAGATCTAACATGCTAACATAAAATATATTTTTGTCTGATTTACGCTCATTACGATGAAGAAGTCTTGACAAAACATTTACGAAGAAGTCTTGACAAAACATTTACGAAGAAGTCTTGACAAAACATGTACGATGAAATCATGAAAATTCATGAGGTGAGAAAACATGTACGATGAAATCATGAAAATTCATGAGGTGAGAAAACAGGTGAAAAAACAGGTGAGATCTAACATGCTAACATAAACATTATTTTTACTGAATTCCGTATGAAAATCATGAATTTCCTTAAGATAGAAAAAATAAAATTAGTTTTATTTTTATTTATTTTTTTATTTTGTATGTAAGAACAGAAATGACAAACATTGAGTTTGAAACAGTTAAAAAGATAGACAATGACACCAAAATTGGTTAGAATAGGTGATTTAAACGTAAGATACTCAAAGGAAATACAACAAATATTCTTTGTCAGACATTATATCTCCATCTGGAAAGAAAACACACGACTGGGTTAGAAATGCTTCAACTCAGAAAATTTTGACAAGAAATCCTTGAGCTTATGATATCGGTAAGATTCTATGGAACTACGCATATCTCATCGACAAAAAGTCTTATACCAATAGTTTTGTTATGGTTAGACCCAGTTGTTGGATATAACTTCATAACATATGGTTCATTCGATACGGAACGTTGCAGTGAAGGCTTACTTTACATCGTTCAGAAACCGAAGGACTTCAATACAAAGAGATATAAGATAGGAAGAACATATAATATAACTCAAAGATATGACAGTACAGTCAATAGAGTCAAGGTTGTGTTTGCTAATGATATGAGAGCTGCAGAAACAGAACTACTTGAAAAGTTTGAGAAAATATATGGTGCTCCCATAAAAGGTAAAGAAACGTTTGAAGTAGATGAGATAGATAAAGCTATAAAATTATTTGACGAAGTTGCTGAAAAATACATGTAAAGCGTTTATTTTTGGTCTTTTGTGAAAGATAGAAAAAATAAAGTTAGTTTTATTTTTATTTATTTTTTTATTTTGTATGTAAGGACAGATATGTCAACAACAGAGAACACAACAACTGCTATCGTTCATGAAGCCATAAATGAAGAATATGAGTGGGTTCAGTTTAACAAACAACTCCGTCTCATTCGTTCGGTCAAAGACGATATGTACCAAATGCAAAGTATTTTGACAGCATGTTTTGCTCCAGACACTAAACACGCAGACGACTGGTTCAAAAACCAAAGCACACAAGAACTTTTGAGTGAAATTTCTCTAGACCGACTTTTTTCGGCCATGCATAAAACACATGAAAATCGTAAAAATTTGCCAATAAATTTAAGAGGATATTATGTACATAGACTTTTAGTAAATGCAGTTGCAATGTGGGCTTCTCCTCGTTATGCATGGCATGTTTACAGACTTCTTGATGAAATTCATAGACAAGAACGTGAAGAGATGGAAAAGAAACTTCAAGCAAAAGATGAAGTCATTGAAGCAAAAGACAAAAGCATTCAGAAAAGAATACCACGTTCGGTACCAAAAGGAAAGGAAAAGAACTATAAGTATATGATTTATACTGAAGAGTTGGAAAATGAAGAAGACAGAGATATGGTTATGTTGCATTTAGTCAGAAGAAACAACAAAAGCTTTTACGACCTTGCTAAGATTTACAAATCTGACAGAAATTGGTTCTATCGCGAAAACTTACCGATTTCAATGACACCGAATGAAGATGTGAAACAAATAGTTCAAGATACTTTACCTCAAACACACTATGATATTAAAGGTTGTACAATACTTACATTCAAAGAAGATTTGTCATTGTTAAAGGAAAAAATAACAGAGTATTTTGACAACTTCAAACAAGTAGGGTAGATGAACCATTTATTTTTCAAGCTTGACTTCAGATGGCTCAAGTAGCTCAATTAGGTAAATTGCCTCGTCAAATCCTTCTGGCATTCCGAGTCCTTCCTTCCGACAGGAAAATATTTTCCTTCCGACAGGAAAAGTTTTTCCTTCCAACAGGAAAAGTTTTTCCTTCCAACAGGAAAAGTTTTTCCTTCCAACAGGAAAAGTTTTTCCTTCCGACAGGAAAAAATTTTCCCGACAACTGGAAAAAATTTTCCCGACAACTGGAAAAAAATTTCCTTCCGACAGGAAAAATTTTTCCAGTTGTCCGTCCGTAAACCATTCAAATTTTCGAAAATTGAGAACTTTTTGGTCGAACTTCAGGAAAAATTTTTCCTTCCGACAGGAAAAAATTTTCCCGACAACTGGAAAAAATTTTCCCGACAACTGGAAAAATTTTTCCTTCCGACAGGAAAAGTTTTTCCTTCCAACAGGAAAAGTTTTTCCTTCCAACAGGAAAAGTTCTTCCTTCCGACAGGAAAAGTTTTTCCTTCCGACAGGAAAAGTTTTTCCTTCCAACAGGACACAAACGAATGTCTCACGTTCCTCTTCCTGAATGCCTTCCAAAGCCAGAAGAACCGACAGCCCCAGCACCACAACAGACTTACTAAGACTAAACACTTACATTTTTTCAAAGCTTGACTTTTTACAATTTTGAACTTTGTTCGCGTAGATATGAATTCTGAAAGAAGTATGAGGGTCTTGTATGACTTTGTACTTCTCCATAGTTCATGTCTGTCAAACTTACCTGCCATGGACTCTTTCAGAAGTTCCATGAAATCGTCTTCGGACAATCCGGGGAAAAGTACAATGTCAGTAAGTATTCTCTTTAATCCTTACTTAAACTCTTTGCTGTCTGTACACAAATGACAACTGAAATGTTAAAGTGTCTGAGCTTCTTAAGAATTCGACACATATCTTGTTCTCTATTCTTTAACAAAGGATGAGAGCAAAGTCATCTAAGATAAGAAGACACCTATGAGGGTATGTCTTCAATCGTAAGATTGCAATTTCTTCGAAATGTATTCTATCTCTTTCTGTTTGTTTCTGAAGTGGTGTTTGTCTAATATTCTCTGCATTTCCTCATTTGGGTCTTTAAACTTAGAATTTATATACTCATTTATAGCATTGTACTTCAAAACTCTTCTTTGGTACTTCTTTATCCAATCTAACAACTCAGTATCCTTTATACATACTAACTTAGACTTCTTTATAATATCTTGAAACGAATTGACGGTTTGGTCAAATTGACCAGAAGTACTACAAATAACAACTAACTCATAGAATGGGTTCTTCTCATCTAGTTCTTGTTGTTGTGCAGCCATTTTAAGATAAGTGAAAGTCTTACCCGACCAGGTGGATGCAATTAGACCTGTTATACCATTCTGAGCAAATAAGAACTTTTCATGTATAGGCTTTATCTGAGCATTTTCTAACTTCTCTTGTTCTTGTTTAAAACATTCTCAAATTTCTGTTCAATGTCACAAACTTTTTTTCTAACATATTTTTAGAAAAATTAAAATTTTTATCTTTTAGAAAATGTCTAGCGATTTCGCTATCTATATTCGAGACAAACTTTTTGACAGCAAAACATCTGTCGACCATAAAATCTTACATAGTGTAAACAAGAAAGGTGAATTTGTTCTAAAGTTCTGTTTCTGGGAATATGACAAGAACCATAAAACATTAAGCAGAGCCGTCTTAAAATTTGTCAATGACAGACTTGTTGACAGAGATGACGCCGATTGGAAAGATGAAGTCCAACAAAAGTTCTTAGAATGCACAAGAAGACCAATGCGCTGTTCTTGAAGATGAAATAGAAAACAGAATAGATGAGCTATTAAAGGACAAAGAACTTTTTACATAAATATAGTTGCGCCAAATTTGACATAACTCCACCAGAGAAGAAGAGAAAGAAAAGAAAGAAAAGAAAGTAGAAGAAGAGAAGAAAGAACCTGAACCAGTTCAGAAGAAAAAGAAATTTGACATGTGTAAAAATAAAATTTTATTTTTAGAACATTTCTGGGTCAATGTCAATGTTCTCTTCCTCTTTAGGAGTAAACACTGGCTTAGACTCTAAAATCTTTTTACCAATTTACCTTGGAACTTCTACAACTTTAGACTCATAATATTCATAGTCGTCTGCTTTCTTTGGTTCATAAGGTATAACAGTTTGTATGCTTTGCCTTCTTTAAGGTTTGAAAACCTTCTGTCAAAACTTTCTTTGACTGCTAACAAACCTTCTATGTCTAAGTCTTCAAAATTTCGCACCATTTTTAGTCACAATAGCAAACTTAACTGGTTCGATGTTCCAAATTTGCTGAATGAAGACTTTTCAAAATGGTAGAAGTAAACATTCAAATATGTGAATGGGTCTAGTTCTTCTTTAAGTCCTGACATGTACTTGTTTACTGAGATGAATTTTGCCATCTTTTTCTATCGGATAAAAAAAATATTTTTTTAAAATTTACTCATAAAAATTTTTCTTTGTATATACACCATTCTGTACGTCTAAAAGACTTTTGACACTTTGCCAAGAATGTTCGTTTAGACGCTGTCATATAACCATATTCTTGACAATATTGTTTAACGAATCGTACAATGACATTTCATCTAATGACACAAAGTCAGTTATCTATGAACAGTTCATATACACTCTTGTTTGCTTCTAACAATGTTTGTCTCTCTTCGTATGTGGAATTTGTCTTGGATTGAACTTTGAAATATCTAATGTCATAAAATATGAGAACAAGTGGTTGTAAAAGTCAGATGTCAAAGTTTCTGCTAAGTCGTCAAAATATTCTGTATCTTGCATATGAGAATCTGACGTTCTGACAACTACATATCTTCTGTCAGAACTTTCTAACTTCATCGAACAGCATTGTTTGAAACCATAATGAAGTTTTGCAACATTTCACAAACTCTTTGGTCTTTATATTTTCTTTCAACAACTCCAACTTTGTCTGTTATAAGACTCTTCAAAGCATCTGAGTTTAAAACTTTTGTTGTATCTATACTTTGAAGTTCGTTACATACTATAAGTTTCATATTTCTATGAGGAAGTTAAACTTGCCACAGATGTTTTCTAAGTTTGTCATATTCGGATTCGAATAACCTTCTAACAGTTTGCATAAGATATCTGTAAAGAATGTGTTCTTACCAGTTCCTTGTTTTCCAATTATAATGAGAGCAGTTTCATTTTTAGCACTTGGATGTTGTAAGATGTTTGCAAACCAACATAAGATATACTCATAGACTCTTTCGTTTCCATTGCATATAATTTCTTTGACATGGTCTAACCAAGCTTCTATAATATTTTCTTTCCATTCTACTTGTTCATATTTATATCCAGTGAAGATAGAATAGAAGTTTGGAGAAGGTGTATAGAACTTTATACTCGAACTGAAAAAATCTTCTAACTTTGACAATAAGATATCCCAAGCATCTAAATCTTCATGCCAACTTGTACGACTTTTATTTTCTTAAGTTTCTGTCTACATTCTTGTTCAGACACATTGTTGCTCTTGGTTTGTTAAAGGACAACATCCCATTCTTTCATGACATAACATTCTGGGGCAGAGTCAACATAAATGACTAAACGTTTCAAATTCTCGACTGCATTGTTATAGTCTCTAAATGGACACATATTTTCTGAATGCTTGGAAGTCATAAAAATCTGAAACATCTATTCTGTACATTTTTATAAAAATAAAAAATAATATTTTTTTATTCTTGATTTGTTGTTCCATTTGTTGCATTTGTTGTTCTTGAGCTATTGTTGTTGAAGTTGTTCTTGTAATACAATACTTTCACCAGTTGCATCTTCCAATTCGAAACTTTCTGCCGTCATTGACAAATACATAGGACATAAAAGTTTTACAGGAACAAAGTTTGCTGCAACTAATGTCAACGTTATACTTGCCAAAGTGTTTGAGTTCACTAAGGTTGAAATTCTGCATTCGAATGAACAATAGGCAAACCAGCAGAGAAAGTATTTTTATACGCATAAGTATCTTTTGGTCATAATAGTTTCTGTCGACATTCGAATAACACTTTGAACCTAAGTTTGAAACAATATATAAGATTGGTGTGCTTAATGTCAATGGAATAGACATTCCTTGTATGACACCTTTTCCTGTATAGGAAACTGTTGGTAGTAAAACCAGAAATAAGTTTGTGTATTATAGCTCATATCGTTTATAGTAAACTCAGTCGGACATCCAAACATAATGAAACCTGCTCTAGTTGCAGCACATGTTACACCCGTACTTAAAGTATATAAATAAGTCAACAAAACCTGTTGTGGTATATCTGAGTAAGTATCTTCAAAGGAGTATTTTTTTGCCATTCACAACAATAAAGTCTTCTGGTGTCAAAAGAGCAAAACAGGCTTTAGTCGTCATTGTGTTTAAGGTTAGTTTACAATATCGTCCTTGAGGACTTTGTAAGTTTGTTGTATAGAATTATATGACTCAGGGTTTTTAGTCGTAATAGTATAAACCATTATATCTTCTGCCATTTATATATATTTAAAAGTTTTTTCTGAAAGTGGAGAAAGAACTTCATCTAAACTTTCACATGGCGTTTCTTGAAGTTCTCTGTCTAAAGAAGTTCAAATATTTTTGTAAAGACATAGAACTTTCCTTTGTCTACACGAACAAACAAAACAGGGTCTTTCATATCGTTCAAAAGTGTGTAAAGTCCTTTACATGAAATAAAGTCTATATTATTTTTCTTCAAACATCTTTCAAGAAGTTTTGACATTTTTACTTAGCAAATAAACTTTAATGAGATGTTGTGGTCGTCAAAATATCTTTATGACGTCTGGGAAACTATACTTTAAGTTCAACGTTTCACCTCTTTCATAACGTATTATCTTGTCAATGACATTATATGAAACACCACAGCAACTAATGTCGGGTTCTATTTCTTTGATGTTTATATCGTCTGCCTCTGTCAAAAGTTTC